TTGCATCGACGACTCTCATCATCTTATCTTCAATTGACACTTTATAATTCTTTTCGACCAATTGTCCTATACTGAGCAAATTTCTCTTCATGGCTGGTATGTACAACACATTGGAAATTACTGACCTCTTTCCATCTTTCCTCATAATCATAACATCATCAATACCTTCAGCTGTTAGGGTATTGTCATTTGCAAATTTTACAATATTTTTCATTGAGGGCTTTATATTGACAAGCCAGTCTTTCCTCCCAGACATATGTGATGAGTATCCTGAATCCAAGTACCATTGGTCCTTGAATCTATCTTCATCTCTTGTTGTTACCATCAGCAACATCTCTTCTTCTTCATGTTTTGCAAACTTTCCATCACTTTCTTGATTCTTTCGTTTTTCTAGAAAATCACTTGAATAGTGACCATACTTCTGAAAATTATAACATTGAATGTGACTCTTATTAGGTTTTCGACCACCATCTTTTCCTCTATTTACAACACCACCTCTTTGGTTGCCTTGGTATGGTCTTCTCTGATTTGACACGTTTCTTTCATTCTGGTTTCCTCTACTAGTCGATTTGTTGTAGCCGCCTCTACCTCTATCTAACCACTTTCCATTGCCTTTGGTTTCTTTTGCTGAATGTGCCTGCAAAACCACATCACTCTTCGACTTTCCTACATCTCTTTCATTTATTCTTTATTCATGAGATTCAAGCATCCCTTGAAGCTCTTCCTTTGTCAATTTCGACAAGTTTTTCCCCTCTTCTATAGCCACCACCACGTGGTCGAATTTAGGAGCCAAAGATGTCAAGATCTTCGAAGCAACAGCTCTTGTTGTTAATGTTTCTCCACATGCCTTGATTTGATTCACTAGTTTTGTAACCCTAGTGAAGAAATCAGATATGCTCTCACTATCTTCCATCTGAAACAATTCATACATTCTCTTATGAGTTTGTAGTCTCACTTCTTTCACCTTTTATGCGCCACCAAAAGACTTCTCAAGTATATCCCGAGCTTCTTTTGTAGATTCTGAATCACTTATTTTTCAAAAAAAATTAGACTCACACATTGATGAATTATAAAGTTATAACCCAGCTTCTCAATTTCTATGTGTTTCTTCTTTTCTTCTTCTGAAGCATTTTCTCCAAGTGCTTCGAATCCATCTTTTACAAGATCCCAAAGACCTTGACACCTGAACAACACTTTCATCTGTTTGCACCAATTCTCATAGTTGTCTACTTTCAGAATTAGTAGAGTTGCTGGATAATTTGCATTCCCATAATTCGCCATCGTGAATTCTTTTTCTTCCTCAATCGTTCTTGATTGATACTTCCCTTGAATCGAAACCGAGCTCTTGATACCAGATGTTGGAAATCCACCAAATATCTATGATGAACTTCTATCGATCTTGATGCTTAAGATTGATATCACCACACAATGATAATGAATTATGAGAAAAGAAAGAAGAGAAAGAAGACAATTGTTTTCTGCAGAGTTTCTCTCTGCCCACAAACTGTGGAAAACTTTGTTATTCACTTTACAACTGCAAAATACTGTGAATACAACTTAATTGACTTAATTACAAAATTAAGAGTTACTCTCTCTATTTATAGATTTAACTTGCACCCTAAACTCAAAACTATAAAAACCCAAAATATCTATTTTGGTACTAAATAAAATCTATTCTATTTTAGATTTAAATCAAATCTATTCTATTTTAAATCTAAATCAAATCTATTTAAATCTAAAACAAATCTAATATGTGTTCTTCGACACACATAGTTTCGATACTATAAATTACAATTTAATAATATGGAGGTGCATTTTATTTTCATTGCAATTGTGTTGTTATTCATCAATTTAATTAATTTGAGGATGGATTCGATAATCATTAGCGGTCACTCTTCTCTTGATATTGTAGATGAGGATTGTTATGTTCTATATCATGCAACATCAGTTTATGTGTATCTATGTTTATGTTGTTGATTATATATATTTGTTTATATGGAGGTTCTGCTCAAGGTCAAAGAACCTTATGTGCAACATGCCAATACTACTAGTTCTAAATTTTAAAATACAGTTGAGCTATGATCTTTTTGAAGTGCCTCAGTATTGTGTTGAAGTCTTAAAGACATCGAAAACCATAATTTTATAGCCGAGATCATGGTCGTTGACCTTCTTTTTAAAACTTGTTATTTATACATATTACTAAAGCAATATCTTCTGCTATTATTGATAAATCAAGTGGCTTCTGAACTATTTTGAGATATTACAGTACTTGGTAGAAACATGGTTGTGACTAACACATTTGGATCATTTGCACTTCTGATACTTCTTAATCTTATATTAAGGGGTTTCATTATGTCCAGAAGTGAGTTTAAATAACAGAATTTTGAAGCTTGTTTCTTTTTAGAGTTTATTAATTTATCATATAATGGAATTTGATACTAATGAAATTTTTAGATTTTTGCCAAACTTTCTTTCGTGTGGCGTGTCACTTCAGTTTTCATTAATGAAAGTTGACGGTAGAAATCAAAATTATAGATATAAAATTTTATGAGAATCCTTATTTGAAGGACTACAAATATATTTAACTAAAATTTACAGATACAGATAAACAAACATGAGTATAAGTATTAAGATACCCATTAAATATGAATACGAGTATAAATATTAGTGCTCACGCAAATTTACGTCACTTCTTTCCTTTTTCAACTAAATCGCATCTTTCCTTTTTCTTAAAAATGAAATCCCTATTATGGTATCTTAGTAGTTAGTACACCGTTAACGAAATGAAATTCCCTTCTACCTAAAATAAATATCCTTCAACCCAAAAATAATAAATAAAATGAATTTCCTTCTCAAACACTACGAAATGGAATATTTAGCCCCAATAAAAAATAAAAGAAAAAATATCAATCAATTTGTAATATCAAGTCTCAAAAGAAATAATCAATAAAAGCAAAATGAAATTCGAATGTGATTTATGACATTCGGGTCTACTTATTGAGTGTATGTTGGTTGAATTTGATTAAATTGAATAGGATTTAATTTTTTTTTTCTGCGAGGGTGAATCTCAAAAAGTTGTAAAAAAATACAAATTTTATCTTTGTTGTTTATAAATTTTTTATTTTTTATTTTTTTTTGGATTTAGTCAATAAAATTAATGATATGATATTTAATGAGATTTTTTTTATAATTTTTATTTATTTTATTATTGTATTTTTTAATGTATTTTATGTTATTATTTTTTTAAAATATATTTTAAATTCTATTTTTTAAACAAATTATAAGTTCTTAATTTATACCAAAAAAAGACATGATTTCAATTGTATTATGAAACAAATTTGTTATCAAATATAAAAATTAATATTTGTGGTCAGAAGATTGAAAATACATTTGAAAGCTTGACAAGAAAAACATAATAAGAATAATAAAAATTAATATTTGTATTATGAAAGCTTGACAAGAAAAAAAATTTATTGAAAAACAAAAAAAAAAAATTTAAAAAAATATTAAAAAAATATGAAAAGTAATTAAAACAACTTGAATACAAAGAAGACGACCATAACATATTTGAACAATAATAAGAAAAACAATAATAGTGACGGACGGCGAAAATATCTGATAAGAACAGTGAACTCGAAGTTGATTTGGGACTTACGCTGCAAGGCCTCCTGTTATTTGGAGGGTGTATTTTAGAAGAATTATGAGAGATTAGGTAGTTAGTGAGGTGGCAGGAGATGCCATGTGATTCAGTGAGAGGAATATATCATTTAGTTACGGAAGAGGAGTGAGAGATCAGGGAAATTGCTAAAGAAACAGTTAGACGGAGAAAATTCTTTCTCTGGTGAGGAGCAAGGCTCTGAGTTATCCTTTATCAACTTGTTCTAGGAATTGTACTCTTCTATCAATTCTATTAAACAAAATAACCATTCATATCTAAATTTATCTACTGTCTACTACTGTTAGCTTTTACTTGTTATATATACTATAGTATTTTTTTGGTTTTCATTAACAGATAAATGGAAACAAGTTTTTTTTGTAACTTATAATTTTTATTTTTTTATGATTTGGAGTTTGTTATGAATGTTTGAATTGATACAAAATTTTGATTTAATTATAGATGGAATAAAATATTTAGAGTGTAATTATAATTATTAGTTCAATTTATCAGTTTGTCAATTCTTAAAAATTAAAATTGAAAATCAAACTAAACCTCATAGATTTTCATTAATTCGATTCGATTTTAGAACCGAATGAAAAACAATCAAATTTTTCAATTTAATTTAATTTAAATTGTCGATTTAATTATTTTTTTATGATTCTTTAAAATGTATTGTATATATTTAAATTCTTATATTAATATTTAACACCAACATATTTAATAAAGTTGTGGTTTACAATTAATATCCGAAGTTGATATATGAAATTATATTTAATTTATTTATTTTATCAAGTTATTTTTAGTGTTGATGTGTTTGTGTTGTGTTGATGTCTATATCAATATTTCAATATTTATAGTAGTTATTAATTTTATGTCCACCTGAAAAAACCCACTTGTCTTATGTCATGGTGAGAGACTTTTTTTGAAATAGGAAAGATGAAAAAGTGTGTTGAGAATGTGATTCCATACTTGCCAACATAATGAAAGTAACACATCCAAGTTCGGATTTTATCAACTTCCCTACTTTTTAGGTTACAAAATACTAGAGGGAGAACATATCTTCATATATTCACACCTTATATTGTTGTATACAAGAGTGCATTCGATACCATATGACACCGCATTGCACTTACCAATAATGTGATATCTTCGTATATTCATTCTCACCACTGTAATTATATTTTCTTGCAAGATTAAATTAAAGTTAGCGTCACGTTTTAGAATTGGATTTGATTCTTTATCAACAAAAGGATATGGCCAAATAAACATATTTATCCAACTATAAATATTCACGTTGCATGCCATTTGGTTATCAGGTTCTATTAACAGATCTTGCGGAAAGATGATGAAATCCTTGAGGAAAATCTTATCCCTTCGATCGAACTACTGTATCAAACAAAGGAGTGAACATGGTGAAAACTCAGTAGCTTTGCCTGTGCAGTTGCCAAATTGCAATGATTGTGACCACATCGTTGTCGAGGACAGAAAAAACAGTACTACTACAGAAGGCGCCCATGTCGAACCTAAGCATGACGCTAATGCTGATAGTTCTTTTGTGCATGCTGTTATAAACATGGTGGGAATGCTCATAGGTAAATTTTGCTTATTTTTCTCTATTTTGTTATTACTTGTGTTGCAAGAAACGGAAAATATGTTGAAGGCATGATATACAATGTATAATTTCAGGGTTGGGGCAACTATCAACTCCTTATGCTGTTGAAAAAGGAGGATGGGCGTCTGCATTATTGCTTATAGGACTTGGGGTAATATGTGCTTATACATCTTACATACTAGGAAAATGTCTTGAAAAGAATCCAACTTTAACAAGTTATGTGGATATTGGGAATCAAGCATTTGGAACAAAAGGAAGATACCTAGTTGCAACATTCATCTACATGGAAATCTTCATGGCACTTGTATCCTACACCATCTCATTACATGATAACTTGATCACAGTTTTTATAGGGACTCATCTCAAGATGAAATTTGTCACGTTAACAACGCCGCAAATCCTAACTTTGGTGGCAATTTTGATTGCTTTGCCTAGTTTGTGGATCAGAGATATGTCGTCTATATCTTTCCTTTCAACCGGTGGAATTGTTATGTCTCTTCTCATTTTCGTGTGTGTAGCCGCCACTGCGATCTTTGGTGGGGGTGAAGGTAGTAATAATCATAGTATACCTGTCTTCAAGCTACATAATATTCCATCAATATCTGGCATTTATGTCTTTGGTTTAGGAGGACATATTGTATTCCCTGATTTGTATAAATCCATGAAAGATCCCTCCAAGTTCACCAAGGTATATATTATATTAGTCTTTTTAATCTATCTTTTTCCATAAAACTATAAGTTACTTACCAAATAAACCTATCATTCATTTGTGAAATTCAGGTTTCAATTGTGAGCTTCACTATTGTTACAGCAGTTTACACTTCAATGGGATTCATGGGTGCAAAAATGTATGGAAATGATGTTCAATCTCAGATAACTCTCAGCTTGCCACCAAATAAAATTATAACAAAGATTGCTCTATGGGCAACCGTGTTGACACCAATGACTAAATATGCACTTGAATTTGCACCCTTTGCAATTCATCTTGAACATGCACTTCCAAATTCTTTGAATGCTAGGACAAAATTGGTAATAAGGGGTTGTGTGGCTTCAGTTTTGCTATTGATCATACTAGCCCTAGCTCTATCAGTGCCATATTTTGAACATGTGCTTAGCCTCACTGGTTCACTAGTTAGTGTAGCCATTTGTTTGGTTTTTCCAAGTATTTTCTATTTGAAGATTTTTTGGGGTAAAATTACAAGGTTTCTCTTGGTCCTTAATATTTCTTTAGTCATATTTGGGTTTCTTCTTGCTGGGATGGGTACCATTTCCTCCACAAAGTTAATATGGCAAACATTTATATCACATCATTCAACTTGAGGAATTTTTGAGGAATCAGCATATACATAAGTTCACCTAAAACCTTGTTTTGCAAGATTGGTTAGTATCTAATATCTGTATGGTTATGATTCCAAAAAGAACAACAACTTTGGGTGCTCTATAATGCCATGTATTACTTCTATATATCTGTACCTACTTTTAAATAGGTAACTTTTAGTTACTTGATTTGGTGTTGTGTAGTTCTTTCTTGTTATGAAAATCATTCTCAAATTCTATATAATTATGGATTATGATATTGTGTTAAAATATAATTAGTAAAGGTCGGATGCGTTTGTACCGGTCACGCAATTTCATTTTAAATAAAAAATAAATATAATATAGTGATGATTAAGAAATAATATAAAAATATATATATAAATTAAACAGTTTTGATATGTTGAAAACATATATTTTAGTATAAAAAAAGAAATAATTAAGTAGTCATCTACTTGTGTATACGCGCACAATATCATTATAAATAGTAAATAAATATAGTATAGTGATTGTTAAGAAATGTATATAAAATATATACAAATTAAGTAGCTTCGGCACGTAATAAATGTATATTTTAATAGAAAAATAAATAAAATAATTAAGTTGTTATTTACTTGTACGTTCGCACGGGTTTCAGAATGTCTTTATAGATAGTAAATAAATATAGTATAGTGATGAATAAGAAATATATATAAAATATATACAAATTAAATAGTCTCGATCCGTCGAAAATATATTTTTTAATAAGAAAAATAAAAGAAATAATTAAGCACAATGTCGTATTAAATAATAAATAAATATAATGATTAAAAAACATATATAAAAGATATACAAATTAAAAAATAAAAAAAATCTAATTATAATTGTCATAAAAATATTAACTTAATTTAAAAGGTTGTGGATTATGTCAGAATGTATATTAAAATTATGTTAATTGAATTAAATATCAAATTTAAAAAATAGAGATATCCAAAGAAAATTATGATATATGTGGATATACAATTCTTATATAAAAATTAAAAAAAATCAATAAAAATCTAAGAACGTAGTTAATATGTACTATTATCCATAATTTATTGGAATCGAGTAATATGAAAAATAATATTAATATATAATAATATATTAGAAAAAACAAAATATGAAAAGCAAATAAAATAATGGTAAACATATAAAATTTATGTATTCATCAATCATAATTGTCTATTTTTTTATAAATCTATAAAATAAATCATGCTTAATTGAATGAGTGAATTTTTATAGAAACAAAAATGATATTGTCATCTTCAAATTTAATTTCATTCCCATTTTATAAACAGTGTTGCTAAAGAAAGCAGTGTTGCTAACGAAGTTAGTGAATCAAACTCTTCTCATTATTCTCACATTTGGTACTTCATATTCATTATCAGATACTGTAAATTTCCAGCATCTTATAAATATCAATATACAGTGCAAGCACACTCCCTTCATTGGTAAATCCAACCTTAATCAAATAATGTCTCTAATTAATTACTCAAAAGAGAAAAGTCTATATTATGTAAAAATTCTATATTTCTATAAAAAAGCAAAAGTTATAAATGTTGTTGAATTAATATACACACAAATGTCTAGTCGGAAAGCTTGATCTTTAGAATGTCCCCTAACGTATCAATGACCATTTTGTTTAGAAAAATCATGATTTCCTCTTAAAATTAATAATTTGATGGCTCAAATTCACCTTGACGTTGTTGATTCTCTCAAAAAGTGAAAACAAAATACAACAATGATTAAAAATAATCTTAAACTAATAAACACTTAAATAAAGACAAAAGCAAAAATGTATACCATATAGTATTTGAATTTTTCAACTGTATTAACACAACCTTGGTATGGAATATCCATCCGATACTCCATCTATAACATCAAATAACAACAACAAAACACAGACGATGAAGTATTAAACTAAACATCTTAATCTTGCATCATAGCTAACGAAGTTAAAATAATTTAAAATTATAAATAGAATTAATCAAAACAAAATTTCTTTTATCCTTTCTCTCTTAAACACAATAACAACACGGACAAAGCTCAAGAAATATGAAATGAAACAAAATCGAATCATAGAAAATAAAAAAGAAAATAAAATGACAAAAAGCGTTGCAACAACAACGACGAATTCCACCTTAAACATAATCCTTGTGGATCGACAGATCTAAAATAGAGAGACAACAAACCTATGTTTTTTAGAAGAAAAAAAAATGCAGGATGTCCAGATACTCTCTCTTCTCTTTATTCTATATCTAATTATTTTTTCTCAAAAACATGATTTGTGTTTCTGATGAATTAAGTTTGTGTTTGGCTTTAAAGTGAAGTTGATGGAGGTGAATGTTTAAAATAGTGAAGGTTTTTTTTCTTTAGTCATATTTAGGTTTCTTCTTGGTGGGATGGGTACCATTTCCTCCCCAAAGTTAATTTGGCAAAAATTTATATCACATCATTCCACTTGAGGACTTTTTAGATGAATCAGCATATATATAAGTTTAATAAAATCTTGTATTGCAAGATTGGTCAGTATCAAGTATCTGTATTGTTGTGATTCCAATAAGAATAACAACTTTGGGTGCTCTATGATGTCATATATTACTTCTATATATTTGAACCCACTTTAAAATAGATAAATCTTAGCTACTTGATTTGGTGTTGTGTAGTTCTTTTTTTTTTGTTATGAGAATCATTCTTAAATTCTATACAATACATTGGTTACACAATTTCGTTTTAAATAGAAAATAAATATAATATAGTGATAATTAAGAAAATTATGTTAAAAGATATATAAATTAAATAGTTTTTACTCGTCAAAAATATATATTTTATTATTAAAAAAATAAATGAAATAATTAAGTAGTCAATTATCCGTGCGTACGCACGGGTCACAATATCATTATAAATAGTAAATAAATATAGTATAGTGATGGTTAAGAAATGTATATAAAATATATATAAATTAAATAGGTTCAATACGTAATAAATGTATATTTTAATAAATAAAATAATTAAATTGTTATCAATCTGTGTGTTCGCACGGGTTGCACAATGTCTTTATAAATACTAAATAAATATAGTATAGTGATGGTTAAGAAATGTTTATAAAAGATATACAAATTAAATAGTCTCGGATCGTCAAAAATATATATTTTAGTAGAAAAATAAATAAAATAAATAAGTAGTCATTTACCCGTGCATTTGCACGGATCGCACAATATCGTTATAAATATTAAATAAATATAATATAGTGATGGATAAGAAATGTATATAAAATATATATAAATTAAGTAGTCTCGGCCCGTCGAAAATGTATATTTTAATATAAAAAATAAAGGAAATAATTAAGTAGTCATATATTTGTGCGTTCACACGAGTCGTGAAATATCATATTAAATAGTAAATAAATATATTATAGTTATGGTTGAGAAATATATTTAAAAAAAATACAAATTAAAAAGATGAAAATGTTTCAAATTATGATAATAGGTAGTGGTGTTTTGTCAGAATGTACAGCGAAATTATGTTACTTGAATTAAATATCAAATTTAAAAAATAAAGACATCCAAAAAATATTATGGTATAGGAATATATAATTCTTAATTAAAAATAATAATAAAAATCTACGTAATATAGTATTAATATGTATTATTATTCATAATAAGTTGGAATCGAGTAATACAAAGAATAATATTAATATATAATAATATATTGGGAAAATAAAATATAAAAAATAAATAAAATAATGATAAACATACAAAATTTATGTATTCATCAATCATAATAATTTTGTGTTTCTTTTATAAATCTTTAAAATAAATCATACCTAATTGATTAAATCAATTTTTATAAAAACAAAATGAAATTGTTATCTTAAAATTTAATTTCATTCTCATTTATAAAGAGTGTTGCTAAGAAAATTAGTGAAGAAAATTCTTCCCATTATCCTCACATTTGGTATTTCATACTCATTAGCAGATATTGTGAACTTCCAACATCTTATAAATATCAAGATTCATTCCAAGCACACTCCCTTCATTCGTAAATTCAATCTAAAAATAATGTCTTTAATTAATTATTCAAAAGAGAATTATATATTAAGTAAAAATTCTATATTTCTATAAAGAAACAAAAGTTATAAATGTTGTTCAATCAATATACACACAACCGTCGAGCCAAAAAGCTCGATCTTTAGAATGTCCTCTCCGACATACCTATGACCATTCTTTTCAGTAAATTCAACTATTTTAGGAAGCAAATCATATACCATTATCACATGAAGACATGTCTCAGAGCTTCTTCAATTACCATTATCACATGATGATGTCTCAAATCTTCTTGCTTCAATTGGAAGAATCATGATTTCCTGTTAAAATTAATAACTTGATGGCTAAAATCCAACTCAACGTTCTTGATTCCTATAAAAAGTGAAAACAAAATGCAAAAATGATTAAAAGCAATCTTAAACTAATAAACACTTAAACAAAGACAAAAGCAAAAATAGGTACCATGGTGTTGTGAATTCAATGCCAATAACAAAGTATAGAATAAGGGAAGAATAAAGAACAAGGAAGAAGAAGAACACAAGAATTGGTTATAACTGCTATTCTTTACTTTCTCTTAGAAAACAAGATTACAAGTTTACAAGAATAACAAATAACCCTCTCACCCTAAATTAGGATTTGCTGTGATGGCAATGATGAGAGACTAGTATGCTATTTATAATAAAACCTAACATACTAACTAATGGGCTTTTTCCACAAGGCCCATTATACAAGCTAACTTAACAACCAAGCTAACTTAACAAATTAGGGTTTAAACACTAAAACCTAATTTAACAAGCATTCTTCGACAAGTACATCCTAGACCCATCTTCGACTACAGCATGTACTTCGACCATGCTAGAGTTCGATCCAAAATCCCACAAATCTCCACCTTGGACCTAACTCTACAGCATCAAGAGACACTAACTAGCTTTCTTCATGCAG